ACAAGATCCCAATGATGAATGTAACTGTATTGTATACCTAAAATGTACCAATAAAGTTAATGGGGGGGGAAAGAAAATCAAATCCACAAAGATATACTAATTCATGCTCAATAGGATAGCTATTGTTTAAAAAGCAAAACAAAACAAATGTCAGCAAAGGCATAGAGAAATTGGAACCTTTGTGCACTGCTCCCCACCATGTAAAATGGAGCAGCTACTATGGAAAACACTATGGTGGAGCTTGAAAAATTGAATGTGGAATTATCATACAACCCAGCACTTCTACTTCTGCATATACAGCCAGAAGAATTGAAAGCAGAATCTGGAATAGACACCTGGACACTCATACTCAAAACAGCACTACAATAATTCCCCAACTTATGAACATTTGAGTTATAAACTGTCACAGATATGAACAGACCTCACATTTGGTTTTCATATGTTTTACTTTGTATATTTGTGTCAAAGGTGTACAAGATTCACTTTGTCAGACTTATGAATGAATCTGACTTACAGATGTTCTCCTGGAAGGGAACTCATTCATATGCCGGGGACTTATTCATAATAGCCAAAAGGTAGAAGCAAGCCAAGTATCCGAATACAGATGAATGCATAAGGAAAATTTGGTGAATATATGTGAGAATATTGCCAAGTCTTAGAAAGGAAGGAAATTCTGACATGTTCTACAATATGAATGAAATCTGAAGATTATGCTAAGTGAAATAAGCTAGTCACAAAAGGATAGATATTGAATTACCACTTTTTTGAAGTACCTAAAATCACAGAGACAGAAATAGCATAGTGATTTAAGCACACCAAGTTGCCTAATTTAATTGGAATAACATCAATTTGGAATAGGCTGATTCATGTACCTTTAGTCTATTTAGAAACTAACATATAAATGAAAGTTTTATAATCAGTATATTATTTCTACTTAAAATATAAGTGGAAATTGTTATGAATTTCACAGTGTGTAATATTTCTAGCTGTATTTACACAAGCAGCAACTATTAAGCTCATGTTGTTAAAAGTACTTGGGTCTGTTTTCTTATAAGATAGACCAGGTCTTTATAGCTGATAACCTCAAAAGTACCTTCTAGCTCCCTTCTAGCTTCCTCTCAGGCAGAGTTTGCAACAGAAAGTAGAATCTGCTGAGTTCCATGCTTTCCATTTCTAGTTGATCAATTGTGGTTTTTCTTATTTCTTCCTGAAAATTTAAATTTCACTTTAAAAGAGTTAACCCATCAAAAGAATAACATTGGTTTCCTAAACAATGTTCTATAAATGTTTTCTGGCATCACAGTTTAATTTTCATTAAATTTCTTCTGCTGTTATTTTATTTCTACAATTAATTTTTAAGATGTCACTGTTAATTTATCTTTTAATCTCTGCTGATTTTCTTCCTCTCAGAAATCTTTTCCCTTTGTGTATCTGTTTCTTGAATGCAGTTTCAATCTAAAAGGAAAGATTCCAATAAGCAAGGTAACACTGGGAAAGAAATCTAATTATTTAAAAAATGAAAATTGCCTACAAAATATGCATAGATAAAACCTATAAGTTATTCAAACCTATAAATCCAAACAAATTCAAAGGCTGGTTGGTTTATTTGCTTTAGGTGGGCTACTTTAAAAAAATGAAAAAAAGTGTTCAAAAATCAGTTAGTAAAAAAATATAATTTTTAAAAAATGATAATACTATGTGTAGCTATTTTATGACCTGAGGCATTGCCATTATACTTTATCAACTGAAAGTTTGTATATATACAAAATTGTATATATAACATGTCACTTTTTTGTAATATAATTCAATACAGGCAGCACCTATAAGTAAAAAGGATATCAATCAAAGAGTTATTACGATTATTTTAGGGTATAGATTGTAGCCATTTTACTTTTTTTCTTTTGTTTGCCTGTTTTGTAAAACTTCTGTAGTACATATGTATTACTTTTGTAATAGTGGTGAATATCTATTACTTTAAAAATGGATTTTACCTTTGTGATTTAAGAGGTCGCATGGCTCAGACATTAAATAGATATGTACTAGATATTTTAGTTGGCCACAATAAATGTATTGGCCCCTACACATTCTGGAGAAAAACTAACTGGAAGAAGCAAGTGTGAGAAGCAGTTTGCAGCGGACCCCAGGGCAGCACAGGACACACAGAGGCTGAGTGTCCACATGTATCTGGTCAAAGCAGAGAGACTACAAAACATGTATATCTACATAATTACATGTAACTACATAAAATATAAAGTAGAGAGATTTTTTTCAGCAGTGGGTGGCCTCAAACCTCACTTTACAGCAATTTTCCCATATTTTTAGATATTTGATATGTAGTAGTCTTATTCAATATTTTTAAACCACTGAAGAGATCTCACCAAGTTGACCTTGTCAGGGAAGTATTTTAAACATCATCCAGAGATGACAAGTAAACATATCTCAGAAGGGAATTTTAAAACATGGCTCTGACAGGCTTTTGAAAGGGGCCAGGTTAGCATAACTGCAAGCGTTTGTTTTCACTAACAGCACAGTCTGCTTCAATGGAACAGGCGTCAAGTAATTCTTCACTAGTTATGAAGAGAATTGCTTACAGAAAACTGAGCACCATGCATCTGGTTTTTCCCCTAGAGATTGTCTCTGAGTTGGTTGGTCAGCCGGTTGGTTGGTAGGCAGGTGGATGGGTTTAAAACAGCACTTACATGTTGGTGTCCCAAGCATTGGCCCACTAACCTGCCCCTTATCCTAGCCCTGTTATCACCCCGATTGCTTCTCCTAACTGGGCTGGTCCTCACCCTTAGTAAAGGCTCCATAATTCAGTTTTCTGCAAGAAATATAGAGCAATAATCTACACTGGTGTAAATGCTTAGTAAATTGGAAGAAAAATATTTTTAAACTCAGGTAAATATTTTCCCTGTTTCTCTTAAGTACCTTGAACAAAGTTGGTGCTAAATTAAAGTTTGATGAAGAATTAAGTGGATGACTAAAAAATAGTTCTTATAGATAATACAGTACCAATTTTTTTAACAGCAAGAGCAATATCTTTAAGAAAGATCCTAGCTTCTTCATTGCATTTAAAATAGTCATTTTGTAGAGATTGTTCCGAAAAAAAAGATTAGAAAGTTAAGATCTCTTATTTACTTGTCCAAATCCTACTTAACCTTTTATGATCTGATTCAAATGTTTGAAGTTACATCTATTTCTGCATTTCTATTGTGCTAATTATATGCATCTGTTTTCTATTTGTTGCTTCCTATCACGCAGTATTCTAGCTAAAGTATACATTTTATGCTTCTTGGTGACAAACTCCTCTTAAAATTTATCTTTGCATATTTAGTGGTAGAAAGAAAGCATGTAAACAGGATCAGACAAAAAAATCAATAAACTTTCATGAGGGGATGATCTAACATCCCTGTTATGTAAACCTGATTAAGAGTGGTTTCATACACATACATTTGAATACACAGTAAATCTAAAATAATATCATGCTAGAACTCATTATGACATTTTTACTTCTGTGCAAGCATTTGAAGCACAGAATGAGATTGCATACTTCTAAATCTGGTAGGTGTGAAGTAAGAGCGCCTTCCTTATCACTCATTAGTGAACACAATGATGGCTCTGCTTCCCTCACACTTTGTAGGCAGAAAGTCACCAAGGGGCTTGTGACATGTTAGCAAAGGCAATGAAGACAAGAAGCATACTGAATGGGAAGAAGGAAAAGAAAACATCAAGAGAAGTGGAGCAGCAACTTACCATGGCTTTATTCCCACTCCATTATGTGGACTGCATGAATTCCCAACCTGTGTCTTCATGTGTGAATGAGTTTCCTGGGATTCGTGCTCTATGTGCATTACTTGACTCGTCACCTTGTGACCTAATGACCTCAGATGTCTGCATTCCCACTTCAGAGATGAGCAATCTGACCTTCCAGCCCATATTGCCAATGGGAAGTTGCAGACGTGGTAGGCAGTAGTGATTGTTGGAAACGCAAGAGACGGGAGGCCAGGGACTTTGTAACGGCCAGCCCCATCTCTCAGAAGCGTGAGTGGCAATGTCTGCCTGCCCTCAGTTCTAGGGAGCTTGGACTCTTCTACTGAGCTAAGCTCTCAAACCCAGTGAAAGCTAACGCATATTAGCAAATATGTGTTACAGCAGCACAGGCGGGGTTTAGCTCCTTTTATTCATTATTTTAGGGAATGAATGAGCATAAGCTGATTCCTGTTTGTAAACTGGCTGGAGAGCTATAAATTTTTATAGCTCACGCGCAAAGCAAGAAGGCTTAATAAATCTTTTTCTCCGTGAAAAACTTTTTCTGAGGCCCCATAACTTATTAGCAGAAAATGTATTTATGCATAAGTACCAGTGTGAAAGGGATCTGATCTAGAGATCGTGCACGAAGAGAATTCAAGGTCCAAGACCTATCACTGACAATGACTTTGGATACAGACTCTAAGTAATTTGTCTCATTAGCAGTCAAGATTCATCACAGTAATACTTATCCAAGCCTATCTGATATGAATCGTAAAATTAAATTAAGTCCTCTGAAATGGAAAAACTAACAACATAACAAAAATCAATATGCTTGTTTTGCAACAATAAGACAATTACAGTGAAACAGTGAGATCCTCTGCTGTTTGGCCTAAAAGGTTTTTGCACTGAACAAGAAACGTCCTTCCTTGGACTAACAGGTGCCACTGCTAACTGAAGAAGTAAGCTGACCTGTCTCCATGCAAGGTCCTATTTGGTCTGATTCTCTAGAACGTTCTTTTTCACATAATTTTCTCTGCCTGATATAACAGGAGTCGCTTAAAGACGTCGTTCCTTGGGAGAGTAACTTGCAAGAGAAAAGCAGGACAGGACAGCAGACACGGAAGGCATGTGGACACTCAGGTCGCAGGTGGGTGCCTGGGAGTCCGGGATTTGTCCCGCTACTAGTGTGAGCTGGTCCAGGTTCCCCCAGCTGCCCCAGAGCAGGAGACCTGAGCACTTGGACCCTGCCCGCTGCCTCTGTCTCCCCAGCCCCCAAGGAGCGGAGAAGGCTCTGGCCAGGCCAGGGGTACCCTGGCTTTCCGGGGGAGGGTCCCGCCATGTCAGAGGGGACCTCGGTTTCGGGCCTCTCACCCACGACTAAGAGCTGCTCCAGCGCGGCGGCCGCGACCGAGGAGCCCAGGGTGGCAGGGAAGGTGCATAACTCCAGGGAGCGGCCGGTGCAGACCGCGGCCTTCCGCACCGCCTTCTCGCCAGACCCCGGCTCCGGGCTCCAGGAGCTCAGGGACTTCGGGCGGCCGATGCTGCTCTGCGCCTTCCCCGCCTGAGCACCACGGTTGTCATGGGTAACGAGGACGCCGAGGTCCCCTGGCCCCCTCTGGTGGCCGGTACCAGAGGCGGCAACCTCCCAGCTTCTCTATCTTCCGGGGCAAGAATTGAGAGGTCCGTTTCCATCTTCAGTTCTGGCCTGGTGCCTTCTCTCGGTGCTGGAGTGAACGACAGTGACCACTGGATGTCTCTCTGTTGGGGACACTACAGCAGGGCTTTTTCACACTGTAGGCCGCATAACAGACCAAATGACCTCCTGAGGCAGCTTCTTTTACAAACAAGGAAACTGAGGCATGGATGCCTGAAGACACAAGCGGATAATAGTAAATTTAAAGTAGGAATCATTCTACTGAATTTTTACAAAACCCCTCTTTTGTATTCCTTTAAAACTGTCTCTCCATTTATTTATCCCTGAGCACATTTTACCTTGAATCACAGTTCTTTTTTTCTCCCTTTGCTTGCCTTCCCTTACTGTGGGCTCTTTGATGACAGGGACAGAGTATTATTTATTTTTCTTTGCGTGTCCAAAATGCAGCCTAAGGTCAGGCTCTGTTTGCATGTGGCTATGAGTTAGTTACCTTTCCTCTCTCTGGTTAGGGGCTCACATAGGTGATTTAACTTTTCTTAACCGTTTCTTAACTTTTTTTTTTACAGATGGTGAAACTAAAATCAGGTCTCTATTAAAAATAACAACAGCTGTCAGGTTTTCAGTGCTCATTTTGCTCTGGGAACTGTACTAAGTGCTTTCCTACCAACTTCACAGTAATCTTTCAGTAGGCGCCGTCTCTTTGCTCGTGGGGCCCCTGAGTTGTGCTAAGCCACAGTAACACTGGGTCTTGAGTGCCTCAGTACTTGCACAGCAGAAATTCTCAGGATCCAGGCCTCTTTGTCCAGGCAGTGCTGTATCCTGGCTTTGCACACTGCCTGGGTGCCCCTTTCCTGCTGGATTTGGTCTGCTATTCAGGTTTGGTCCTGCCTTTCTGTGTGAGGAGCTAGGTGCCAGGAAAGAATGTTTCTGATGCCCTTGCCAGCCTGCATCTGTGAAAGTGCCATCCTAGGAATCACTGAGAAGTTAGAAGACAGGGAAGCCACCCAGCTTCTGTCTCCAGGCATGGCAGTTTGGAGCCACAGTTGACAGCAGGTCTCAGGAGTTTTGGTGACTCTGGTGGTGGCGGGAGTGGGAGGCTGTTCCCACTCATGACACCTTTTGTACCACAGGCTACTGTGCGTTGTCTGGATGAAGGCGAATCCCTAAGGGGCGTCTGTGTCCTCTCCACTTACTCAATGTGCTATAGGTTTCTGGATTTTTGTTTCTTTACTTTATTCTTTTTATTAATATTTAATTTTCTGTAAAAGTTTGTGAGAAATGTCTAGGTTCTACCTTGTCTCATGTTGTGTGTGTGTATGGTGGTGGCGATTCAACCTAGAGACACTCTACCCCACATTCCCAGACAGTTTTTTGTTTGTTTGTTTATTTGTTTGTTTTTGAGTCAGGATCTCACTAAGTTGCCCAAGTGGGACTTGAACTTATGACCCTCCTGTCTCAGCCTCCCTAAATCCTGGAATTATAGGTGTGTGACACCATGCACAGATTCATTTCATGGTTCCTTATACATGGATGCCCTGTACAAAATTCACCTCATTCTTTTCAAAATCAACTTTATTAATCCTGGAATAGAAATCTGGGCAAACAACGTGAACAATTACTTCATAAAAGGAAAAAAAAATCCAAGAAACACATTGAAAGGAAATTTATTTTCATTAGCATTCAAAGAAAAACAATTTTTTTTTTTGCTATGTAAGATTAAAAAGAATCATAACTCAAAGTGTTGACACTGGGGATATGAATGCCTATCTGGAGTTCAATTTGGAAATTTTTATGAGAAGAATTAGCATACATATTTCTAAGAATATTTCTTAGAAGCATATTTCTTAAACATAGCTGTGTCCATGAACATAGGTAGAAGCTTATTCTTTGCAGTTTTTTTTTTTTGGTACCGGGGATCAAACTTGGGACCTTACGCTTGCGAGGCAGGTGCCTGAACCACTGAGCCAGCCCCTGCAGTTCTATTTAATATATGACTCTAAATGTTAAATGACAAACTGTCCAAATGATCTATGCAGTAGAACTCTGTTACAATAACCTGTTTAAATAACCTGTGGGACGTCTACACGGGGAAACAACTAGGAGGCTGGCCAGCCAGAAGGCTGGCCAGCCAGAAGGCTGGAGCAGAGTGCAGAATAGGTCCAGGCTTCAAGTCAGGTCCACGACTTGCCGGGTTTATTGTCTTGGAGCCACCTCTCATTAATGCCACCCGTGTCCTGATTCTAAAGGAGTTCTGTGGTAGTGGGAATTCTTAGTTCATAGGATTGTTGTAAAGATTAAATTAATTGAGCTCTTAATGTTGTTTTCAACACATAGGAGATAGTGAAATATGATTTATACAAAGCAAGAATGCAGAACTATTAAAAATAATGTGTAGGGCCAGGGATTTATCTCAGTGGTTTCGCCACCTGTTGCACAAGCGCAAGAACCCCAGTTCAATCCCTGGTACTAAAAAATTAAAATAAAAAAATAAAAAATAGTGTGCAGAAATTTATGTGTATATACATGCAAGGAAACCATTGGGTGCAAGGGGTGTGTTCATTATTGTCATTGTAATAGTCACTCTGTAAGTGCTTGTGTGAGTCAGGACTCATCAAATTGGACTTCAGCTACTTGCAGTTTATTGTGTTTCAATTATTCCTCAATAAAGCTCTGCAAAGAACCAAAATGCATGTTTGCATTCACTGATAATAACTTATGAAGTTTCCTCTCAGCACAACCTAATGAAAACTCCCCAGAAGCCTCACAAGTTAGTCAGCTTTCCATCACTGTAACAAATGCCTGAGATGTTCAACTTGAAAGAAGGAAAGATTTTGACTGACAATTTCAGAGGTTTCAGTTCATGAAGGATTGGTGGCATTGTTTTTGTGGTGAGCCAGAACATCATGTCAGGGAGCACACCATGGAACAAAGCTGCTCACCTCATGGTGGTGGGAAAGCAGAAAGAGAGCAGTGAGGGTCCCAAAATCCAGAGCACACTTCCTGTGACATCACTTCCTCCCACCGAATCTCCCTTCTTAAAGGTCCCACTACCCATCCAGGGGATCAGAACCAAGCAAGCCTTCAACACATGGGCCATTTCAGATCAAAGATAAAGCACCTGATATTGTCACCTTTCATAAATTAGAATTCAGTGAGCAAGATTTATGGTTTCCAAGGAGCTGTCAAGCTTGGTGTGGTAGATTGTAGACAGGAAAGGTGCTCTAGAGATTTCTGAAGTTATTATATAAGTTACATAATTATTTTATTCTCATTAAAACCCACAGTTGGTTAATTTTCAATCAGAATTTCTATCAGAGAAAAGGGGTTCAAACTGCCTCATGTATGTACTTATATATTGGCCTTTGTGTAATGAACAAATTGATGCTTCTGGACAATTTAAGAGGAGATGTGACTAAAAACCAATGTTCTTCTTGTAGTCATGAAATAGATGTTTGTAAAATGAATATGTGACAAATCTTAAAAGGGCATTGAACAAATAAAATTATGCTGAAACTGCAAAAGAGGGGTAGAAATTTACATGTACACATACAGAAACACACACACATATGAAACCACTAGCAAGAGAGCAGTATAATATTCAACCTTTACAAATTCATATACATATATTATATCTTACTCCCTCTCTCTCTCCCCATGTGTGTATATATATATATATACATATATTCACATACATACAATACATATATACACATATATACGTAACACACATATATAAAATGGTCTGGAAAATTGTTTACTAAAATGTTAGCTGTGGTTCTTCCTGGTTAGTGAAAACTATGGGTGTGGTAGGTAAAACAATACGTCCCTGAAATGCCCACATCAGAATCCTTGGATCCTGTGGCTGTGCTGTTACCTGGTAAAGGATTGCTAAGGTTGCAGATGGAACTACATTAATTGTCAGGAGACTTAGAGATGGGGGAAAGCAGCTTAGATCATCTGGATGGGCTCAATGTGGTCACTGCAGTCCGTATAAGTGAAAGAAGGGAGGAGAGTCAGGTCAAGGTGAGAGATACTTGAAGATGCTAGAGTACCAGCTGTGAAGTTGGAGGACAATGGCCAGGAATCAAAGAATGGAGGTGGCCTGTAGGAACTGGAAATGGCAAGGGGATAGGTTTGCCCTAGAGTCTCCAGGAGGGGCTCAGCCATGTTGATATCTTACATTAGCTCAGTGAGACCCATTTCAGACATCTGAGTCACAATCACAATAAACCTGTTTTTCTGTAAACTATTAAGATGTGGTGATTTGTTAGAACAGCCATAACAAGCTAAAATAATAGACAATGTTAACGTTTTTCTTCATACTATTTCTAGATTTGAATGTTAGTTCATAAGCATGTATACCTTTATGATTATAAAAAGAGAAAAGCTTTCTTATTGACAAAATCATAGGAAAATAAAGAAAGAAAATACACAAATCTAAAGTAGCGGAATATATAACAAACCTTTCTGGTCTGTCAGTATCCACAGCTAGCATTCACTGGGCCAAAAGCCATTTCTTCTTCTCTCATGCATCTTTTTACTCTGTTATGAACAGATGCATTCCTCGTACAGTCAGTATTTTCAAGGCAGAATTGTGCTCAGTAGCTAGGGCTACATACAGTCCTACCTTGGTACATTGCTGCTTTGAACTGTGTTGGATTTGGTACTCAACACATTTTAACTTGAAAATTGTGTCCCAACACCAGTCATTTGTTTGGCACTTGACACAGAAGCTAGGACTTGTTGGTGTCCATTGCCTTGGGATTCACTACCCTTTCCAGCCAAAACAATTCGGCCACTTTTGATACTTTTTGTGCCTCTTGGAACCAAGTAACAGTGAGTCTGAGGTATGTACTGGGACCTGTCCTAGGCTGCCATTTAGTTTATCATAAGCAAGTTTCTTTCTGTTTACTCCTCACTGCTGATGGAGCCAGGAAAACCCTGGAGTTAGACCAGCGTGCACAGAACTGTGCTTGCCTAAGCCTTCCAGCAGGTTTGTTCCGCACGTTCGATGTCCCTACTGCCTGAAAGGTCTGCTCTGCATTTGAGGATAACATTGCTATTGTAGCTGCTTCTTCCCAAATTTGGGGGATGTATTTGCAGACCCTGGGTTAGACTGTAGGTGTCCACACCTTTGGCTGGCCTTGCTGCGTTACGTGAAGGGCATTTCTCCTAGGCCATGTTATAAAATATGTAATATAGCTAATACATATACAAAACAAAACTTCATTTTAAAATATTTTTATTATCACATTAAAACAAAATAACACAAGCTCAAGCGTAATGATGAAATAAGAAGACTTACATGTCTGCTTAATAATAATCAGCACCTATTTTTACAGGCACGCACCCATGTATGTGGGGTGAAATATAAGCGTCAGGAATCACTGGGCCTTACTTGCCAAGCTGCAGGAGCTCGTGAATATGGGCTGCACGAGAATTACAATGGGGGGGTCCTGTCCAGCTGGCTGTGTGTGGCAGGCATGGGAGACAGACGAAGCACTGCAGGGCACCCTCCCACACAAGTGTGCCTCTGTCATCTGTGAAATCCACACTCGAGCCCTGCACAACCGACTCTACATCTGCAGATTGAACTCAGGACCTAGAGAGAGGGAGAGAGAATTGAACTCAGGACCTTGTACCTACCAGACAGGCACCGGCTCCACTCAACTACATCCCAGGACTTGCTGTCACTCTCTCCAATGAGCTACATACACAGTCTCTCACTGTCACTCTCTCGCTTGATTAGTATCAATTGAAGGGCTGCGGCTTGAGCGCATGCCAGAAGATTGGCATCAGGTGCAGAGCTTTGCTTGAGCATTTTCAGACAGCAGGACTTCAAAAGCCAGAGTTCATAATCTTTCCCACTTGGAGCCAACGCTTCACCTTCTGGGGGTGCAGTTTGACAAGAATATGCCACAAAGCATCATCACAGAAAACCCTGGAGCAGCAGCAAGGAAGTACCTGGTGGTGAAATGAGCTCCAACTCCTTCCCTCTCTCTCCTCCTTGAAAGCCACTTTCTTGAGAACAGAAGCCAAATCCCATCCATTCACATAGTTGAAAAGCTGATTACAGAATGTGGCATACTGTTAAGCCAAAAACATGTTAACTACTTTAACTAGAGAAGCAAACTGCTGGGAAAATCCAACATCCCAAGTTCTTCATCCCTAGAAAGGGGCAGGCTTCAGGGAAGGAGGATCTCATGAGGGCCGGCAACTGATTCCTGCCTTTTCCTTCTCCTCTCAGGCTCATGTGTTGAGAGGTGGGGCTTTTGGAAAGTGACTGGATCATGAGGATTCTAACTTGATCAGTGGGTTGATCCACCAATGGATTAATAATTTGATGGCATTATTTGGAGGTGATGGAAACAGAGGAGGTAGGGCCAGTTGAAGAGTGCAAATGATGAGGGTGTGCCTTTAGGGCCTCTGTCTTCTCCCCAGGCCCTTCCTCTCTCCTTCCTGTCAAGAGATGAACCGCTTTCCTCCACCATGCCCTTCTGCCATCACATTTCTGCCTCAACACATGCCTAGTAGCAAGGGAAAGCTGTCCAACACACCTCCCTCTTCTTTCTCTTTCCTCTTTTTGTCTTGCTTTTCTCTTATATCCTTTCCTGTTCAGTAAGTGAGTAACAAGAGCAGCTTGACTCCTCAACGCTCTGGCCTCTCTTCCTCAGAGGACTCTCCCCTAGGTGCCAACCTTAGGTCTTTTTCGTATGTGCTCAGTGCCCAAGCACAATGCCTGCACTCAGCAGGCACACAAGGAAGCAAACCAAAGTGCGTGGTAGTGACCTGCACACACCCCTGCCTTTCTCTGTGCCTTGGAAGCCTGCTTTCCCTCTGCTCTGAGACTTGGCCTTGGACTCTCCTGACTGTTACTGCCATCTAGTAGAAACAACATGGAAATAAAGCCCATTTCCCACTTGAATCAGCGCCAAATGTTGGTCTCATTTCAGTAATTTTCAGTGAGGGTTGAAAGAGGAAGAGGACGAAGGAAAGCTCGAAATGGTGGAACTGACAGACAGTAGCATTTGTATTTCAAAGGAAATGCTCCGTATCTCCCACCAGTAGAAAGAAAAATGGGAAATAAATACTTAGTATGTGCTCTGTGGTAAGCACAACTTCATTCAGCTCAGCCTTCATCGTCTCAGAATATAAAATCCCACCTTAGAGTGCAGAATGACTGTGAAGAGGTTCACTAAGCCAGTCTAAAACTACTAGCAAATGATGTAACCTGAATTTGTCCCCAATCTGTTTAGCCCCAAGAAACTTCTGATGGTGAATGAAAACAAACAGTTGAAAGAGAAAGGTGAAAGGAGGGCTCTTCCTGGGCGAGGCTGCCCACAGGAACACGTGGCAGGCGTTCCTCAGCCAGGCTTGCTCACCAGCCGGTCTGTCTGCTTCTCTAACAATCTGGCACTTCCGGGGCACGCGATCTTCCTGCTGCTCTCCTGCAATGACTGTGTGCTGGAATCACTGCTGCTGAGCTGTTCTCACTTCAGAAGCTGTAGGAGCCCGAGTGGTAGAGGATCTTGATCTAAGTGTGTAGCTGCACACACTGCAGACGTCCAAGACCTCAAGCCAACTTGAAGGCTTCAGCTGGGGAGATTCTACCACATGGTATGCGATGGGGAACAAGATGCCTTTCCTAGTCAATGCTACAAGATTCACTGACTCCTTTGCAGTCCCTGCGAGAGACCCAGCCCGCCAAATGGCTTGGGGCTGATGTTGGGTCAAAAGAGCATGTGTTGGAGAGTGCCCAGGTCATTAACCATCCAGCTCATTGGGACAGTGAGGCTGGTGTCCACGCATTAACTGTCCTAACCTCCCTTTCTGGGGGCCTTGTGAGCTCACCCTCGTCATGGAGACAGAAGAGAAGCTCCCTGAGACTCTGGGCAGACTTCCTTCCTTGAGGGAAAGGGAAAATGGGCTTCCCACACGGCTGCTCCTTTGAACTTCTCCCTTCTTTGTACAAGGGTGGATGTCTCAGGCTGCAGCAGCCACCAGTGACCATGAGGAGCAGGCCTGAGGCTGAGATGGCAACCTGCTGACCATGTGGAGCAGAAGGTTGGAAAGACCCTACCTGTCAAGCTCGGGCAG